CAACCGGCAAACGAGTAAAGATGGCGGGAAAAACAGGTCACGTGGTCCCTCTTGCCGTTCACGTTTCACGTAAGCGCGGTGCTAAATCTCTTTAATGTTGCTTTATATAGAGTTAAGAAGAAATAAACCTTAATGTTTCCTTTTTTCAACATGTCAAGGGAAGAAATATTTCGATTCTGGTTTCGCAGTCTTCGAGCTGAAAAGATGGCACTAGCCATTAAACTGGACAGGAAGTGTCAGGATGTTTGAACTGGGTGAAAAGCCATGACATCAGAGGTAGAAGAGGACTAGAGGCCATTAGAAGCTTAAGATAAAGATTAAATCGCTTTTTATATCGACAGTGTTAATGCGATGTTAGTGTTAATGCATCTCTCTACCTCGTTGTACGTAATATACCACAGCATGCCACTCTTGATTTATAAGGTTTGAACTTTCAGAATGACTGTAAATTTTTTTCCTTATTATTATTATTATTATTATTATTATTATTAATTATCGTTATCACAGTGTGTATCCTCTAGTTTTTCTTACATTTTTGTTAGACATTTTAACACATTTTTTCGATTTTCAAGCATTTTATCATAATATTTGTTATAATTTTTTGTGATTATGGTGAATAAAGGATTATTTTCTATAAATTATTATCATAGTTCCTTAAAGTCTTGCTCTTTTTTTCTTATGAAGCCGAGTTCAATCCATGAGCCTAGGGCAGTCATTCATAAGTCTGCTGGATTACTTGATGGAAAGAGTCTTCTGTAGCTCTGCTATTCTGATATTGCCTGGGATCTTGCCAGCTCCATTGATCACTGGGACGGTTTTTGTTTTCGCTCCCCCTGTTTTCTCGATTTCGACTTAAAGATCTTTGTACTTACAGAGTTTTTCTGCTGCTTTCAAGGAGGTGTTCCTTTCTGTGAGGATTATTATCATTATTATCATTATCATTATCTTCATCATTATTATCATACTTATTATTATTATTATCATTATCATTATCATCATCATTATTATTATTGTTATTCCAAACTCACAAGCTCATTCACCTGAATGTCTGACCCTAATTAGAGAAAAATTGTTCCAATGCCATATTTGGCACAGCAGATTTCTATACTTCTTTATTTAATGACTAAATCAGTCCATATTGCCGTGGGTCTGTTCACGAATTGAGATACGAGTTGCAGTCTGATACTTTTACCACATTATGTCGCCTTTTGGGTTCCAATACTATAGAGACCAATGGCGACATGGAATCTGTTTGTTTTATATTGTTAATGGTAAGTGACGTAATCTATGCGTCTGTCCCCCAATAGACCATAAGTGAAGAACCAATCAAAATGCATGGATTCATATAAACATAGAGGGCCGGCTATTTAAACAATTTTTTTATTATTTAACAAAACCGCGCTCTAAATTATCTTTAATTCAGTCGAACCTTTTACCTAAACAATTATTTCTGTGAACAGTGTCAAGAGGGCCGAAAGCTAACAGTAGGGACCTCAACCAGTCAGAACGGCAACGAAACGGACGACGTCGATTAAAAAATGAGTTTCTACTTTTAGTTGGAATTTCGAAAATGGCTAAGTAGCGTTGAATTCCAAATGCAAATTAAAATAATTTGCCGCCGCAGTTTCGGTTCGCACACGACGCAATTTTTGGTGATTTTACGTTCTTGTTTCGCAAACGACGGCTAAGAAATGTACAAAGTTTGAAAACGCACTTGCTGTGCTATTGTTCTGCCAATAAGATTTATTGTTTTTCCACGTTCTCGTTGCCGTCACCGTTGTGGTTTGCTTAAAGTCCTTAATGGAATGTTATCACGAACGTGACGTTATTGGAACCTCGTTTAAATAGCCGGTCCAGGGGTTCACCAACACCTCGCTATCAGCCTACTTCCTGTTTCTTAGGCAACGCTAGGCAGGGTACTGACATGACCTCCATCTTGTAATCGTGACACTCCTCAAGCGAAAAAAAAAAAGGGCACGCATAATTACATACATATGGGAATCCGAACGCTGTCAATTCGCAAAGCAATCTTCCTTTTACGGGCGAAAAGGTAAAATATAGGTCATTAAATTCTTACAACATGACAAACATGACTAAATTGATAAAAGGGGTAAGTTTTCGAAAATAAACTGTGGCGCTGCGTCGGTGGGGGTATAAAAAGATAATTTGGTTTTTCAACTGAGTTGATAATGTAAGTTAACCACCAAGAGTTTCAAAGCTGACGTTTGGAGTATTAGCACGTCAAGCGAAATGATGTAAATTGTGACTAACGTTCAAAAAATGTCTTTTAGCAATAACATGTTAACATCATCTTTTGTTATCTTTTGTTTAGCAATTCAATGCTTCAGCGTTTCCACCTTCGACAGCTTGGGCGTTGAAATTCGATTGAGGAAAACAATAGCAGATAAGCCTCTCAAGGGATAATCAAACAATTCGAAAGGGCTGAACATGCAAAGCTATTGTCTAGTTTCACGATTTGATTGGATGTGATTCTGAAGTCCGTTGGCGGCGGTTATGTTTTTCACAGTAGCATTAAATTCTGTCGCAAGAGTCTAATTCTTATTACATTTGAACTACGTTTGGGAGTTAAGAGAAGGCATTTACTCTTTCAAGAAAAGTGTAAGATTATTCCACTAGTTATGGTTCAACAGAATGAATTTGAAGACAACACTTCCCAGGCCAGTGGTGCTGTAGATGTCACAGCTGCTAGCGATGGACAATTTGAAGATGAGGTACCGTTAGCCAAAACATTACTAGCTCAATGTACCCTTATTTCAGCAAGCCTTTGTTAAATCAAATGTAGTATATGCTCTTTATAAAATTAACTCTCTAAATTATTTTTGGAAACTGGACCAGTCGATAGGTGTAAACGGATAAATTTGGTTAGCTTTCCTTAGAGATCGTTCCTTGTTAATAACTAACAAAATACTTCAAGATAATATCTGAGGTCTCAGAAAATGCATAGCAAACAATTTTAAGACTTTTACTGAGTCCAGTTCTAATCCCAAATATAGGGTAGCATCGCCACAACGGCATTTTATGACATATAAAAGCATAAACGTCGAAAAGTAGTAATAGTACTAAAGTTATTAATATCACAAGTTTATATTAGGCGTACCAAGTTAAGTTAAGTTAAGTTTCATTTTTTTAATGTGGCACCACACTTAGTTGCAAGCTACTTTCCAGGAGGCCCACAATAAACAACAGAAATAAAGAATTCAAATTGAACATAAATTGTTAAGAATCCCAACTAGCCGGAGACAAACCAGTTGGCTATTTACAAGCGTGGCCGAGGATTTGAACTCGAAGCTACCGTGAGACAAATCCAGATAGTGGTCAGAGCGGGACTCGAACCCAGGAGTAGCGGATTACGAGTCCGACGCGCTGACCAGTCGGCCACGCTGCCACCACTCTCACAGTCTTGTAAACCAATTTCTAAAATTTTGCGACTCAAAATTTAAGGCCGTGACAACGATTTTATTAACTTTTTCGTCTCAAAACGTGTCGTCCATGTCGAAAGTAGAAAAATCAAGGGTATCAAGACAGCCGTCGATAGTACTAAACTACCGAAGTCGTTCTTTCGTTCTTATTTCGGCTTTCTCCAATAATCCCTTCGTAGCGTTCATTCTTTCATTTTCCTGCGATGGGGTCCAATCTTCCTCGGCAAGCCCACCTAGAGTTGTTACACTCAAATGATTCACCTGGCCATGTCATTCTTAGAGTGCTATTCTGAGGCGAGAGATCTTTAAGCAGTAATCATCATCAGTTAATTGCTATGTCGAACATTTGGATCCCAACCTCTCAGTGATTCTGTTTGATCTGTGGTCGAAATTACAATTCACCGTCAAAGTTCAAAATAGTGGAAAGAATATGGCGTTTATCACAAAATTAGTCATGAAATAACTAGAGTTTTTCAAATTTGAAACTACTGGAGGTAGACACCTAATTCTTTGTGAGCATTTCTTCATCTTCCAATCAATGCTTGCGACAAATAACTTAAGGTATTGCTTTAACCTGTCATGGTCACTTTCTTCAATAATTTTCTAAAAGTACAAGATATGACCTTCCCAATGCTACTTCTATTTTAATTTTTTTTTTCATTCATCTTTTTTTTCTTTTTTTTGCAAATCGTTTCCATATGCAAGCCATCACGACCAAATCTCAGCCATACCATATTTGCTTAAATTAATGATAGGTTTGTAAGTTACAGGCGTCCAATCCCATTTTATCGTTTTCGATTTCCGTATTTCTTTTCGAGGACCTCTCTAAATGAAATGATTACAGCTCAAAAGACACCATAAAGCCCAAAACAAAACAGTTTAGAGAAATATAATGATAAAAAAGGACAACCTTGGGCCTTTAAAATTCCAAAGATATTTTAAAGAAAAATATCAAATTAATACTCACTATAGGCTAACTGCAAATTTTTGCTTTTCATCACTGGATCTTAAGAATACTGTTTTTCATTTATTATCTCGTCACAACGCGATTTCTCTTGTATTTCTAACTTTCGTATCTTTCATAACAACAGGTATGGGATTATTTGATTGTTTTACCCTCCAGGTATCGGCCATAAATCACCTTATCTAATAAATATCAATATATTATCCTCAGAAGTAATTATAGTTTTACAGGGGATGCTAAAACTTCCATAGAGCTTTTCAGTGTTTTACATGGCATACTGCTGTCCATCACCACGATGGAAGCAAATAGGATAATAGCAGTTGAAGCTAAGTGGCATGCCAAACTCAAAGATTAGAATAAATCCCAATCTTAGGAGAAAAAAAATTCTTGTGCTCGATTTTGCGAATTAAATGTCCCTAGCCTTTTGACACCAAATAAGCAGAGCAAAATTTTTGCAACATCACTTTTTCTCCATTCTATCTCGAGGATATTATGATAAACATTAGTGTGAAGGGAGATTGATTCTTAAAATTCTGTTTCAGCGGGTTTTTCTTTGATTAATAATTTATACCATGAATTAATTTACGTCCAGAGAGCCACGCGGAAACAGCGGTAAGACAGTGCGCGCTGACAAAATCTAAAATAATCGAAATCAATTTTTCCTTCACTGAATATGTACCGCTCGCAGTATACCACGCCAAAATCGAAAACTCCTCGATCTAGATCAGTGGGGTTACCACCAAAATCTGTCGCTGAAAAACAGGTTAAATATGTTTCAGAAGTGACGGTAAGTTGATATAACAGGAGTTCTTCATCACAGTCATTTAAACGCACAGCATCTTATCGGAATAGATCCCTATTTGTGTTAACTTGTTAAAGACATGGCAAAGTTTAATTGATGTTTTCGTTTTTGTTGCCCAATAGATTCAACTTTCTACGAACAGGAGCCGTGAAACAAGTGCGAGTAAGGTAGGGAACAAATTAAACCGTAACCGTAGCTTTAATTTTCCTATGACACTACACTTGGGCTAAAAAACAGAGATGACACAGCTGGTTTACTTTCCTTCACCAAAAGGTTTGATCTATTGAAGAAAATAAGAATAATCTTCCACCTAATCCACAACAGAACTACTTATGCCACAGCCAGCTTGTACAAAGTTTTCGCTCGTATATAGTTTTTGTTATTATCTCTGTAACGTCGAAATTGTTTATGCCAAGGAATATTTGTCCCTAATTGTTTGGTCGCGAAAACCAAAAACAAAACATGTGCCAAATCAAACTGTTACCAAATCAAAAAACTCAACCAAATGATACTCGACTAGCTAGTTTTATTTTTTTTTTTCCATTTTGAATATATATGTTAATTTGACAAATCCATCTCGACGTCCTCGCTGCGGGAACACATGTGTTGAAAAGAATAACAGTAAACTGCACCTGCACTACTTGAAAAAAATTATATATGAAATGAGATTTCTTTATTATTGGAAATTTTCTCTCAATCGCGTGGAAGAGCAGTCTGTGAAAATTGGGAGAGAAATTTTTGCACTGCGATGGATATCTTAAAGAATCTTCAGTCTTAAATCAGCAGCCCAAACTAAACTAGAAACATCGATGACAACATCACTGCAGAGAGGATTTACCTCGACAGATTAGTTCAAATTCTATTTTGTTTTGGGCGGAATACCCCTGACTGGTACATTAATATGCAAATTCAGAAACGCTCGATAATCGTTACTCACTAATCCCGCAGTGATTTGCTACAAAACTCGGGTTTTTCCTGGGAAGTTTTCTGCCACCGCAATTCCTTTCGTTAAATTTTTATGTAAAAAAGAAGGCATTTCTAATGTAACTTTAACCTGCACAGTTTTAAGGTTGACTCTCGAGTAATTTATGAGTTATATACACAGTACTGTACAATAAACCAACGTTTACTGATGCGCAGTAAGTAACAGGTAGATTGCATGTTTTCTGTTTGATTGACAGTTGCTCGGCTCAGAAAGAAGCCCTCAACAGGAGGTAAACAACTCATCTAACGTCACCCCGGAAAAAGACACCTCCCAAGACACCTTGTCTTCGTCATTATGGAGCCAGGTGACCAAAAAGCCTGTGAAGGGTACCCCAAGGACCTCCACGCCAGAAAAGCATGTGAGCCCGCGGGGAAGACAGCGAAACATCAGCGGATTTCAAAACGAGACTTTGCTCACGAATGAGCAAATGAGGAAAGAAAATGAGGAAAGAAAACCTTTTAATGTAAGTAATACTGTCTTTTGATTCGTTAACATACAACTAGACAAATACACAGAGTAGAAAGGGCAATTTTAACATTTTAAATTCAAAAGTCGAACGAAAAAAATTTGCACCTAAAATTTTTTTAGCAATGAACGATGAGACCTAACGACCTTAACGGGTAAACACGTTTATGATCACGATGATTGGTTGCACGTTGTAAATGATAGAAGCCATCCGCGCTTTGCTGAAAGAAAAATTCATCATAAAACAAGTATTTTCATGAAAAATTGAGGAGGAAGAGCACTGATTATGTAACTGTGCGAATATTTCCTATAAAGCCTTTGGGTCTCATCGTTCATGGATCATTCCTTTTCGCGATTGAAAGCAATTTTCGGTTGCAAACGATCCTAAGCGTGAAACAAAATTGATGATTGACTTTAACAGGCTACAATTTATCTGGGAAGCTGGATATCTAAATGATTGCACAATATTTGTTTCTCTGATTGTAAGGCCCAGGTCAACCATGAAACATTACGTCAAAATTTAATACAGATCTTAATCGTTTTAGTTTGGAGCGTCAAGCGTAGGACAGGGGGAAATCTGAATCCCGACACGTGCGACAAAAGGGAAAAGCATCTCACTTTCTTCTACGACTAAGTCAAAATTTTTTTATAACATTCAAATCAAGGTTCCAAACTTTGCTCTTCAAGGAGGTCGAGTTGTTTGAGACCTGCGGGGGTCGACATACGTACACTCTTACAGAATAAAGGCAACTGCGAAAAAACAGCAAACAATTTGAAAGAGACGCTTTGGAAACAAAGAACTGACTCGCTTTCAAAGCGGTTTACACAAAAGATCAGGCGATGCAAAATCTCGAGAATGTTAAGAACTTTAGCAAAAGAGTTTTGCTCACGTACATTTTAAACAAGCCGATTTCATAAACTGAGTACAGATATTCGACTTTGCTGTTCAAGCTCTCTTTCATGAAGAGGAACTGACATAGATTTTTACCTGGCTCAACTGGTAATTATGTTGTGATTTGTTTCCAAACTTTTTGGACTGTTGATGTTAAACAACGGTACATTAATTGCCTTCATTAGCGAAGTCTTTTTTGTGCTTTTCTGTCTAAATTGAGGCAATTATCCTTTGATTGTGTCTATTCTCGCCAAAACAAATCAATTAAAATTCCGCGTTTCCATTTCGGCAAGTTTTAGTTAAAAGTTCTAGTCATGGAGCGTTTTACAAAAGCTTCAAGAGTCCATGTCAATTCGCTATCTGTGTGTATTATACGGATGCGTCTGAAACGTTTTCAATCGTTTGAAGGATAGCTACGTGATATTTAATGTAACCTATTCGAATGTAGACAAGTTTCATGTTTGAGAACGGACGCATTGCTTTCATTACAGGTGTAAACTGCAGATCGGCCTCTCTACTTCAATCACTGTGAAGTAAAATCCGCATGCAAAATGAACACTGGTACGACGCGTGCATAGAAAATGACATGCAAACTGACTGAAAGACTTACTGACAGACAGACAGAGAGAGACTGACTGACTGACTGACTGACTGACTGACTGACTGACTATCTTCCTGACCATTTAACAGACTGACACCATAAGTTGATCAATAGGAACTTTCTGAAAAAGTCGCCGTCTTATGACTTTCTTACATTATAGGAAACCATGGCCACCGATGGCGTAAATTCAAAACATCAATTTTTAAACAAAGAGAAACAGGTTTCCCCTCCATCTGAGTTTTCAACCCTGAGCTCACGCCGTGACAACTCTTTAAAGAACCACTGGTACATGGACATCATGCAGCGACTGGAGGACTTAAGTTGGAACTATCAGACAATGGAGGTTGAATATTCCTTTCTGGAGAAGCTCATGCCAGAACAAAAAGAGGATCTGAAAAAAGCAAAAAGCTGGAACAATAGTCTTAGAAATCAGCAAAGGGCAAAGATAGTTCATTAATGGTACATGATCGGCGGACGTTCTAGCAAAATTTTTAGTCAGTCTGTAGTACCTTTTTAAAACATTTAAAGAGTGTGTCTGGTGGACCATACGTGTCAAAAAGCAAAACCTTTGCATGGCTTCTGATGCAATTACGAACAGGAATTTTAAGCCCTCATATATCGATTGCCATCGGCATTTTCAACGCCCTAATGTTGTATTCAACTATACGGATCATCCAATCAATGTTTCTTAGAGAGATTAACAAAAACGTGCGAAGGGAACTTCAATTGGGAAATAATTTAACTAACTCAATTCGATACATTATAAGAACTGTCTTGCATCATTTCCACCACATAGAATAATTAATACACACAAAGATACGACAAAACAAAAAAAAATATATCAAAAAAATATATCCATGTCGAATGATTAAAGAGGTGTAGGAAACAGAAAACGAGCGCACGGAAAAGGTTTAAACAGGACCAAAAATTAAAACACACGCTGTCACAAGGGCGTGAAACACGCAATAGAGATAGGAAGGAGTAATTTACATAANAAAAGCAATAAGAATACGCGTAAGTACGTCTTTAATCCAATCTCGAAGGAACTTTCGGATTTTCTTTTCTGCCCCAGAAAAGTTGGTTGAGTTGTCGCCCCATATTCCCTTTATACAGCCACGATTTGAACTAAACCGACGTAAGACTTCGAAAAAGGCGTCAGACTCCAACCTACATTCTCGATATGGACGACACGTGAAGGGGGGAAGTATTGGTGAAGAAATAAAGAAATGAAAAAAACAAAAGAACACTCTTTAAATGACTGGGGCGAAAGGCATTAGAAACGTGACTAGAAAACAAGAAAATAAAATTCGTCACAACAACGTCTACGCCATCTGTTGGAAACGTCCCTTTTCCGAGGAGCGATTTTTCGACTAATTCTCTTTTGAAAAAGTCAAAATACTTGATGGAATGAACACAAAAGGAAACAGATGGTTAGTTTTCCACAATCTGAGTAGTTGAGCCTCACAAATGAAGAGGAACTCAAATCCAAAAAAGGAGAACACCATTAATTAAGTTGGCGTTCGAATATCCGTTCAGACGTTGATAAACATGTGCACTTCTCATAAACCAATCGCGTAAAAGGGGCTTAACCCCATAAGGGATGTTTGGTGTATAAACAAAGTCATTGCCGTCGCGATGTAAAATTTACCTTTTGAAGCCCTCTGTGGATAAAATCAACCAAACTATGATTCGAGAATGGCCACTGTTCCTAACGAGTTACTTTTCTTGGCGAATTCAACTTACCAAGGTAAAGAAGAGTGAGCTTAATTACCTGGGAGAAACTGTTTGGCAAGAGTCGTACCTCACAGGTGACATTTACAGTAATGTTCATCCTAACGCTGTCATCAAACGGGTTGGTCATCTTATTGGTGGCTACAAAGAGAAGAGTGCCAACCAACTCAAATATACTCCTTGCTTGTCTGGCGGGGACAGATTTGCTAGCCGGATTGATTGTTAATTATTCCCACTGCCATAGCGGTCACCGTAAATCGAGCCTTTGAGATATTGGTCCATTTTGTAGGTTGGAAAAGGCTAGCTTACACTGCAGTTTTCTGGATGCCAGTCAGCCATTGTTTCCTTGGCTGTCATCTTTTTTATAAGCGGGGATCGATACATTGCTGTAAAGTTTCCCTTGAGGTACCGAGAGATTGTCACAAGACAGCGGATAAAAAAGGCCGTAGTTGTTGCATTGTTCATCACAGGTTTTGGAGCGGTTCAAGAGATTGTGATAGCCGCCAGAGACAGTGCAACGAAGCTATATACGTTCTATTGGACATTGAACATTATTGTAGTTACTTCACTCGTGTTGCTTTGTATCATTGGCATAGCGGTTTTGTATCTATACATCTACCTTGAAACACGGCGTCAGGAAAAACGCCCCCAACAGGGACCGCGGAGCAAGGTGTAAAGTGGGAAGGCTGACAATTGAAAATAATTTTTTCATATTGAAAATCGAACAAAGAAATAAAATCATAGTATTTAATTTGTTTCTGTCGCGTGACTTTGCATACTTTATCCAGTATTTGTTGCTCTTTATATGTCGGCATTAGTGAAGATACCGAAATTCTTAATTATTTTTCTTTTAGCGCAAAAAGTGGGGGCGGGGGAGCAAAATAGTGGTGGGTCCGCGGCCCTATCAGCCCCTCCCCTCCACGGTCCCTGTCCAAGCAGTACAGCTTTCATACGAAGAACATAAAAAGGTGAAGAAAGATAACAAGGCAACATTTACACTATTCCTAATTCTAGAAACATTAGTACTGACTTACTTGCCTGTCATAGCGATTTCCTCAACTGAGTCAGTCAGGTTTTTACGAATTTTTTCGAGTCGGGTACGAATAGTGTGTTGATAATTTGGACTGGCTGTGTTGTGGTCTCAAGTGTATTTTCGGACCCCATAATTTACTGTTGGCGTAATCAGAAGCTACGGAAAGCTTTTCTTGAAATCATCCACCGAATCAAACAAGAGAACAGTCCTCCAGAATTAGAAATTTCGCCCTGCACTTCTGAGGCCCCAGCAATGTCAGTGACAAACCAGGAACCCGTTTTGTTGTCATGCAAGAAGAAATATAGATGAAACATTTAATCATGTCTTTTAAGAACTTAACATCACATTGACTGTAAGTCAGCTGGATAACATCAATAAATACAAGCAGTAAAAAGCAGAAAACGATAGCCTAGCGTTTAGTGCCCCAAACTCCGGGGCCCAGCTGTTCGAAGGCCGATTGGCGATAACCCAGGGTTAAATTTTCATCCAGGTTTCTATATATCTCTATTCAAAAGCCGCTTTGGGATAGTTTTCGGCCAATTCTTTTTAGAGTATTCAATCATCAAATTGAAGACAAATAGAATTAAACTGAATTTTCTTTTAATGCTTTCAGATCTGAAATCAAATTTCACACTAACCCTGGGCTTTCTTAGCCCACTTTTGAACAACCCGGCCCAGATCAAGAGATCTGAGTTCAAGACCAGCTGGAACCCGTTTAATTTCTCGAAAAGGCCGTTTACAAAGCAGAAAAATCAGGTACGGACGTGTCAAAAAAGTAGTACGGACCGCATAATTTTAGCCGTTTACACAGATGTTGTTTTATCACGGGTCGGATAAAAAGAGGCATAAGGACCAAGTTAGCAAAGTTGCGTTTACACTGCAGTTTTTGGGGGACCGGACCAATTTCTTGCATGGGACTACAGTATTTGGTAACAGTTCGATAACAGCTGAGTGCTGTTATCGAACATGTGTAATTCTTGTAAACAAAATGGCGATGCGCGATGCTGAGTTATCCGTTCTCGTAGCCTCAAAACCAGAAAAACACGGGTCCGTACCCATTCCCCAAAACATTGTACGGATTGTTTACACGGGCAAAAATGTGAGGTGCGTACTCCCTTTTTGACACTTCCGTACTCGATTTTTCTGCCGTGTAAACGGCCTTGAAATCCCCGTAACTTTACGGACCCCGAGGCCAAATTTAAAAATCAAAATTAAAGCACAGAGAAGCAGTTTCTGTCACCCTAACAAGTAGCACCTTGTTTCTTTAGCCGATGGTTTAATTATATAACTTCCAAAAGTTTTGAAACCCCCATCTTGAACGAAGACGAAACAGCATTACGGGCGGGCCCATTAAGTTACTGGGACCTTGGCTGCGTTAGTCGCGTTGTGTTCTCGGGCAAGATATTTTACTCTCGCAGTGGCTCTCTTACCCAGGAAAATAAATGGAAGACCTGATGAAATGT